TCTCTCTCTCTCTCTCTCTCTCTCTATCTATCTATCTATCTATCTATCTATCTATCTATCTATCTATCTATCTATCTATCTATCTATCTAATTCCTTCTGCTTTTCCTTCTGCTTTTAATATCTGGGAGCCCTGATAATTTATTTATTTTATTTGGATAACGGCGGCGGTTCTTCCCTCAAACTGCCTCTTAAATCATACATTCATAGAAAACATAATTCGTACATTTATAGAAATAGGTATCAATTCTGACCTCACAGATGCTGTTCTTATCACGTTTGTATGAAGTTTGTGTAGCTTGTCAAGGCTAACTATTGACATTTCTTGGTTACATGCCTGTGCAATCAAAATGAGCCCTGGCACATCATCAATTAGCTGCAATTAGCCACAGCAAATTATATAAACTTTATGTGAACACCCACAAGATTTCGACCGATGAATCCTATAAATCCAGTAAAATAGAAGGAAAAGATTTATTTATTTATTTTATTTTATTTTATTTTATTTTATTTTATTTTATTTTATTTTATTTATTTGTTATATTTCTACCCCGTCCCCCTAGATAGCGTCTACTTGGGTCGGCTACATTTTTATGGCAACATTCATATCTAACTCTTTGGCTATGCCCATGCATCCAAGTCCCCTGTTTTTAGAGTGACCCTAACCTCGGAGAGTATGTTTTGTATACAGGAGTTTTCAAGTTGAATTCCTGGGATCTTTGGCTAGCAGGATCTCTGATATAGAAAATATACTTTCTGACTTTTGAAACGGTTTCTAAGTGTAGGGGATACTGAACTAGAGTGATTGATGATTTGCTAAGTGTCCTAGTTCTGCAAATGAAGCTGATGATGCATTTTAGTAGTATCCAAATGTGTTTATTACGTTTATTTATTTAAACTCTTGATAGGCTGTGTTTTAGAGTCAAATTCCCTTAAGGCAGCTCCCAGTATGTACTTTCACCACGTGTGATCAATTCAGTTTAAAACAACAAGAACACTATGGGCTGAATCTTGATTTTAATTCTATCAGAGTTGCCAGGATGTGGGCATACAAGGGTGGAAGCAGACTACACCAGACATATCTGGGTGAAAAAATTCAAATCCAATCAAGTAGATCTGGTTGGTTCAAGATAAGACAGGTCCAGACAAGAGTGTTAGGCTAAAGTCTAACATACTCAATTAAAGATAATCAGACCAGGTTGAAGCAAGGCTACTGCTACTGAATCTTGGCAGCTTCAGTTAAGATGTGATCAGAACTGTGGAGAGCTCCTTTTGTGCTTGGTTAAAGATTCCCCAAAGAGGAAAAGCCTTCAGTTTAAAACAAAAAGCTGTGATTGAAACTATGCACGCAAGCAGACCGCATATCACTCCCTCCATCTTTATGATTGATGCATCCTTCTTATATCTTAATGTCCACCCCAAATAGACACAGCAGTACATTTGCATTAGCTTCACCAGTAGCACATCACTAGTGGTGTGAAAATACTGAAATGAAACCTAGGCTTTGATAGTGTCAATATCTAAAAATAGTGATAGAGTTTTGTATAGTTATTTATAGATGGAGGAGAGCTATCTAGTCTATATAGTCAAGAGTAGAACTCCTCTCTTGTTTTGCATGAGGACTGGAGGTGTTGATCTGTGAGCTAAATGTCTGTGTTTTGCTTTAAACATTGCTTTCTGTTTGGAGAATTTCCAAACTTTATGAAACATAGGAATATACAAATATAAATTGTGGGCTAATGAGGTATGTCCTTAATAAACATCAAAAAGCAAGATAGTTTTTTTAAGCCACTGAAAAAATATAGTAAACAGTCAAGAACATTACAACTTTAAGAGTCATTGTACAGTATAAAGCAGACAGTCTTATTTCAAATAGTTTGTACTTAGACCGTTAAGGATACCAAACCCACTCACAAAGTTGAAGGAGCTGATATTTAAGCCTGTTTCTAAGAGGAATAGATTATATAGAAATTAATATATTCATATATCTGTCCCCTCTAATGTGTAGTCCGTTGAATCTGGGGATTTAGTGAGTCAACTCCTCTGCAAGTTCCATTGATTCTGTGAACCTAATCTATACTACGCTAGACTAAGTCACAACTGCCGCCCAGAATAGACCTTTGGTCTAGATGAGCGGGGTATAAATCTAATAAAATAAAATAAAATAAAATAAAATAAAATAAAATAAAATAAATAAATAAATAAATACTGTAAATAGAATCAATGGTACTCATGTAGTAGTTGACTTACCAAGTCCCCACGGATTCAATGAGCCTGCTCTAGTGCGACTTACTATATGCTAAGCAACAAGATTTCCTCCAATACTGGATCCAGTAAGAACAAGAAAATCAATTACAGTAATCAGAATTAAGCAGCACCATATTGTGTAGCAATCCAGTAATACTCTTCTGTATAAGAAAGCAATTTTAAACAATTGGATTTTCAGACTCAGTTTAAAGGCCTGTAAGTTTTACATAGTATACGTGCGAACTGAGACACGGTTCAACAGCAAAAGAGCCTTATCCTTTGTACCTGCCATCCTTATCTCTGTGAGCATCCCCCTCCCTGGCTGGTATGAGTGTGAAGGCTGTATCTTCTTTGCATGCGAATGAATGAATGAATGAATGAATGAATGAATGAATGAATGAATGAATGAATGAATGAATGAATGAATGAATGAATGAATGAATGAATATGTGTTCTACCAACTGGCTGTGTTCTACCTTCCAGTCTTCTGTGTTTCCGTGTTGGTTGTCATGGAAGGGATTTATCCTTTCTTCCAGTTATTTATTTATTTATTTATTTATTTATTTATTTATTTAGTTAGTTAGTTAGTTAGTTAGTTAGTTAGTTAGTTAGTTAGTTAGTTAGTTAGTTATTCATGTCATGTCATGTCATGTCATGTCATGTCATGTCATGTCATTTTTATCCTGCCTATCTAGCCGAAGGCCACCCTGGGCAGTTTACAACATGTTCTGTATAAACAGCACAATTAAAACAGAGGACAGAAAACAGAAATAAGAAAATGCAAATAGAGCAGTATTGTCAAAACCTAAAAATGCATTTGCAAAAAACATTCAGAAGTCTCACTGACTCCCATGGAACTCCTCACTTGCACATAATTCTTGATAACTTGCAGTTATTTAACTAGTTATGTTAGTAAATCAAAAGCTGGTGTGATCACCAGGTCTTCCGTAACTGACTTTTTTTTTGGTGTTTGTTTAACTCATCTGTTTGAACGCAGTTTTTCCTGCCTCTTGATATGCATTCTTTTGTTTTTCTCTTTTAGATATACAAAACTGGGGTATGCAGGGAATACAGAACCACAATTCATTATACCATCATGTAAGTACTTCTGACTATGTAGTGAAAAAACATGTTTTCTTGATAAAAATGGATTTCTTCTTGGCTGTGCCCAGATCACTTTTCTTCAGTTGATCACACTCACTCTCTGTCTCTCTCTTTTTCTTCCTTGGAAGTAATATTTACTATACTAGCTTCCTTGGTTAGCTGGAGAGAAAGAGGTTTCTTTCCTTCTTGCCAGGACCGGCCCTCATTAAACCAGTTTCTGGTTGCTATGACAAGTTCTCTTTCCTTCCTATTGCCATTGTGTTGCTGCCAGCAGCCTTGCCTCAGCAAACAAGTGACTTCTTCTTTACCTGACACCATGGAGACGACTGGAATAATCTCATGGGAGCCTTCCGGTCAATTGAAATAGTGAACTGCAGATGCCACCTGGTTGTTGAATTGCCCATGTTTTGAACTGGCTTTTAATGAAATTGTTTCTTTTAATTTTTAAAATTTAGGCATTGCATTAAGAGAATCAGCAAAAATTGGTGACCAAGCACAGAGAAGGCTGACCCAGGGTGTTGATGATCTTGACTTTTTTATTGGAGATGAAGCCCTAGATAAACCTACCTATGCTACAAAGGTAAGTCCAGAGCAAAAACTGAAGATGAACTGGCAAATGTACACATCTCAGTTTTAAACAATCCGATGCATAATATATCTTTTATGAAGGCTTGGTTGCTAAATCTGTTACTATTGTGCAGAACTGAATGGGGTAATTCTACTGTTCTAATGTCTCTGCTTCTTGCAAAACAATCTCTCTTTTTCTTTTTTGCTGTTCCTTAGGCTGGGTTGAACTCCTTCCTACTAAGGCAGTGCCACCTCTCTTTATTCCAACTTTCCATACCATCCATGACATCTTTAGCTCTAGTTAAAGTTCCTTCTAGTCCTTTGGACCAACACATTGTCCTTAATGACGATGGATACGAAACAAAAGCATTTGTCTCACCTTGCCTTTATTGATTTATTTTGAACTGTTCTTCTCAGCCCACAAAGGGTTCCAAAGCAATACACACCAGAAATGTAAAAATAAGAGAAGAGGTTTAAAAGCCATTTTAAAAAGGTTTTTTTTCTTCCAAATGTTGTCCTTCTTTGAAAATATATTAAGGACACTCTAAAAGCCAGCTTTAAAACTGATATTAAAACACCAAAGGCTGTCTGACACAATACGGTCTCATCTGTCGGCAGAAAAACTCATCAGGGATGGAAATACCTGAGTGGATTTGGGAGGGAGTTCCACAATCAGGAAATAGTGTATCTTGTTGTATGAAAAGCATTCTGCAGTGTATAAAGCATTGTCTGGAAAATTGGCAGCATCCCACATTAATTGCTATGTGGGCTGCTCCCAACTAAACAGATGCCAATGTCAGGTTTCTACCATCCATGAGCCTCATCTATAATCTCTTACTTTGTTGCCTTATGATACAGTAGGGGCCCCATATCTGCTAGGAATTGGTTCCAGACCCCTTGTGGGTACTGAAAACCGTGGATAATATTTTGTTGTTGTTGTTTAGTCATTAAGTTGTGTCCGACTCTTCGTGACCTCATGAGATGACCAAAGTACTGGACCCTCAGCATCAGGACCTGTCCTCCCAGTGAGCACTGAGGGTTGATTTCCTTCAGAATTGATAGTTTTGTTCTCTTTGCAGTCCAGAGGACTCTCAAGAGTTTCCTCCAGCAGCACAATTCAAAAGCATCAATTCTTCGGCGGTCAGCCTTCTTTGTGGTCCAGCTCTCACTTCCATACATCGCTACTGGAAAAACCATAGCTTTGACCTTTGTCGGCAAAGGTGATGTCTCTGCTTTTTAAGATGCTGTCTAGGTTTGTCATCGCTTTCCTCCCAAGGAGCAGTCATCCTTTAATTTCGTGGCTGCTGTCACCACCTGCAGTGATCATGGAGCCCAAGAAGGTAAAATCTGTCACTGCCTCCATATATTCCCCTTCTATTTGCCAGGAGGTGATGGGACCAGTGGCCATGATCTTAGTTTTTTTTGACGTTGAGCTTCAGACCATTTTTTGCGCTCTCCTCTTTCACCCTCATTAAGAGGTTCTTTAAGTCCTCCTCACTTTCTGCCATCAGAGTGGTATCATCTGCATTTCTGAGGTTGTTGATATTTTTTCCGGCAATCTTAATTTCGGTTGGGATTCCTCCAGTCCAGCCTTTTGCATGATGTATTCTGCCTATATGTTAAATAAGCAGGGAGACAATATACAGCCTTGTCGTACTCCTTTCTCAATTTTGAACCAATCAGTTGTTCCATATCCAGTTGTGTTGCTTCCTGTCCCACATATAGATTTCTCAGGAGATAGATAAGGTGGTCAGGCACTCCCATTTCTTTAAGAACTTGCCATAGTTTGCTGTGGTCCACACAGTCAAAGGCTTTTGCGTAGTTAATGAAGCAGAAGTAGATGTTTTTCTGGAACTCTCTGGCTTTCTCCATAACCCAGTGCATGTTAGCAATTTGGTCTCTAGTTCCTCTGCCCCTTCGAAATCCTGCTTGTACTTCTGGGAATTCTCGGACCACATACTGCTGAAGCCTACCTTGTAGGATTTTGAACATAACTTTGCTAGCGTGTGAGATGAGTGTATGAGTGTATGAGAAGGTATTTGATACCTTCTCGCTAAAGATAGGAGTACCCTTTTCTTTTCACATTGCGATTCACCCTAAAATCCAGTACTGTAGCAGGTGCAGCTATTGGCAAATAGCCTTCTCTTTGGTACGCCCACCTCTTCTCCCTTCCTCATCCTGGCACTGCCCTCCCCTGGCGGTGGTACACACCATGGATATACACCCTCTCTAAAAGTAGTAAATAGACCCCTTCCCTCCAGTTGAGCCTCTTTTCAGTTTATTGACTAAATGTAATTCCTTGGAACTATGCAGTTGGTGCTTCCCGTAATGAGTATAGATTCCAGAACTATCCCCTGTCTCAGATTTTGGCATGTTGTTGGAACATGGGACACATTTAAACCTGGTAGCAGTGTTCCACTAATTTGCTTGGATTTATGCATCAGATATGACGCGTGTGTTCTGTTGCCCGATAGAACTCTGATTTGTGCCCTGTGGTTGCATGCTGTATTCTCTCATACTGAACCCAACGGGGAAGGGCCTTGTTCATGATGAGCCTCTTGTGCACAGTGTCCGCTCCATATGGACAACATTACCCATTGGAGTGGGAGAATAGCAATCTGCTTGTTTTATGCAAACATGACATGCCCATTCATCTGTGTGATGCTATGCTTCCACTCACCTTTTCTTTAGTGGCCTGTACGACATGGTATTGTGGAGGACTGGGATCTTATGGAAAGGTTCATGGAGCAGGTTATTTTTAAATATCTTCGGGCTGAACCAGAAGATCACTACTTCTTAATGGTAAGGCAAACAGGTGAAAGTTATGCCGTTCTTAGCATTGAGTCAGGGGACTGTTTTCATTTTGTAGGTTGGATTGCCTGCTGGGAGCTGTCCTTTAGACCAGAGGATTTTAGGGGTGGAGGGGTAGAACTCCACCATTTCCCTACTGTCCCCAGACGCCCATGTCTATTTCCCGTTTCTCTATGCAGAGAGGCACGGAGTCCCATCCGTCTGTCTCTAAGGAGAAAGTTATTCCATGCTCCTGCCCTCTATCTAGTTGGATAGAGCAAGTCACAAAAAAGGGTATATCCAGGAATCCCCTCTCATCCATCCTTCCTCCCCATGGAAATGTAACTACTAGGAGAAAATACCTTCCGAACAGAGAGGAAGACTTTTGGACTACCTATTGCCACAGTTCCTCCTACCATATTTCATAGCCTTATGATAGTTTCAGACGATTTTGAACTTACTGAGATTTATCAAATTGACCAATCTTATCTTGTTGACTGCTGTCTTTGTTTGATGTCTTTTTCACTGCGTGCACATGTCATAGTGTTTCCACTTACACTATCTTAGTTTTACACCTAACAATATACTATGTAGAAGAAGACCTCTGAAAGCTTTTTTATTGCGTTAAGTTTTCATTCATTTGTATTACTGGGGGCATAATTTATAAAATCACACGAGAACTGTATTCTGATAAATTTCTTTGGGATGCTGCCTAGCTTGAGTGCTTTTAATAATAATAATGAAAAGCTCTGGGTAGCTTGATTAGATTACAGATGCTGCTTGATATAATTGGCTGATTTTTACTTAAACAAAGGACAGCATTACAGCAAAATGAGAAAAAATGTTGCTTAGCAATATGCTGTTTTAGCAGCTATGGGCACAATTATGTATTGCCTTTTGTGGTAGCTTTTTAATGCAGATAACATTAAATTGCTTTAATGCAAGCTATTTTCTGAAGGGTCCATCAGTTATTTTTTAAATGTTTATGTAAAGAGTATGCACAATACAGTCAACTCTGCTTATTAATATTACTTTTTTTCTGAAAAAAAGAGGCATGCATATGGATAACCTGGGAACTGAATTAGCTCGACTTCTAGGCTTCTAAATGGTTGTCCTTTATTCTGCTTCTGCACTTCCCTGCCTGCCTTTCTCTTTTTCTAAATGGAATGGATTTGTTAGTAGTGCACCTGGTCTGCTACTATTTCAAGCTTTGCACACTTGAAATCAGTCCAGGATTTGTGCTGTTAGGGCAGACTTCCATGTAGGCCGTCACACATACTTTCGAACAGGGACTGAGTTTTCCTGGTTTTCAGCCAGGAAAAGAAGGTTTGTTTTATTTTAATTTTTCATGTCTATGCCATCTTTATCCCAATGAAATGACACAATATGAGGCTCACAAATTATTAAAAAAGAAACCAGCTGAATACACAATAAACTATTACATTAAAAAATTAGGCATGTAATAGAATTAAAACAATTGGTTAAACACAGTGGAAAACTATTTAAAAACACTTCAAAACATAAATAAAATAATGCAAATGTTCTTAACCCAAGATCAAAACTCTCCGCTGCCCAATTAGTTGTTAAAAGCTTGTCTGAAAAGGATGGTTTTCATCTCTCACCAGAAAGTCCAGAAAGAGGGTGCTACCCTAGCTTTCTGAGCCAAAAGAGTTCGCTCAAGACCTCTAATCTCTAAAATAGCTTTATCAATGATCAATTACCAAATAAAGTCTCAATCCCAAATTTACAGGGGACTCTTTGAAAAATTTATTCTGAGTAGAGATGGGCAGTGTCTTGATTCCCACGTGGCCTGTTTGTCTCACTAGACTAAAAAAAAGCTCACGCTATGTGTCTTTCAGCTGCCACCAGCTGATTACATCAACATTACCTATTATTAACAACTGAGGCCCAGGCCATAGGTCATTTTAAAAGAACCAAATAGAAATTGTTTATTGATACAGATGTCGACAGAACAAGCAATTTTGTTAACTCTTAAACAAACATTCTTTATCCACTCTCAACCACCACTTTCCTGCCCAAACTCCAAAACTTACAATCTCTTCACCTCTAACTCCCTATCTAACACTCTAACTAAAACTTCCCCTCCTCCTGGCGAGTCTCTTATATCTTGTGACTCCTCCCCTCCAGCACACCCATTGGTCTATATAGATAGCATGTGAATATTCATGACCTGGGCAGACGCCACAGGCAGGAGGCATGATAAAGCGCTTTGTACAAAGCTGTCTGTGCAGCACCCCAGATGCTGCGCTGGACTGTCTCCCTCACTATTCTTCGCACACTGCCAGGGTCCAACCCCACCTCCTCCGGCAGCCAACCACTCCAACAAGGGGGCGGGATGAGGATTTCTTCTGATGAGTGGTCAGCTGCTGGAGGAGGCACCACCGGAGAAGGACCCCGGCAGTGTGCGAAGACCGGTGGGTGGGCCAGACCTCCGGGGTGGGTGGGAGGTGGCTCGGAGCGGCACCTAGGGTTCTGTGCTGACACCTTTGTGTGAAGCACTTCGTTGTGCTTTGTGCCCATCTCCAATTCTGAGAAACAATGTACGTTTAATGGTTTTCTGGTTAATATGATTAAATTCCGAAACGTGTTCGATCCATATTTAATAGAATGCTTTGTTTTTAAAACAGACTGAACCACCTCTGAACACTCCTGAAAACAGAGAATACCTTGCAGAAATAATGTTTGAGTCTTTTAACATCCCAGGGCTTTATATTGCTGTTCAGGTAAATAGTGAATACATCCTTTTTGGGGCAGAGGGTTAGCAGAGAAAACTGGGGCTTCTCTGTGCAGGTTACTGGGCACATGCCATTTGTTTTGTGTATGTATGTGTGTGTATGTGTGTGAGGTTTTTGGACTCCAGACTTCATAGTTCTTCATTCTTGGACTTCCCCCGTCACCTCCATGCCTAAATTGTGCTTACCTGGAGAAAGGCCGGGCTGGAAGGCTTTGTGGCTTTGGACAATGCTTCGTAGTGGAAGAAAAACTGTTGCTAGAAATCACTATCCATTTTTAAAATGTACGTTAAACATTTTTAGCTCTTAGCTTCCAGAGCAGTCTTTATTGCTGCTGAAATACTGCTATCCTGTAGAGTTTAGAAATGTTACTTTTTTGGGCTACAAGAAGAATGGGTGTTTCTAAGTACAGTGGTGCCCCGCTTGACGATTACCTCGTTAGACGAGGAAATCGCTTAATGATGAGTATTTTGCGATTGCTATAGCGATCGCAAAACGATGTTTGTATGGGGTTTTTTTGTTTAATGACGATTGGTTCCCTGCTTTGGGAACTGATTTTTCATTTAACGACGATCAAAACAGCTGATCGTCGGGTTTTCAAAATGGCTCCCCGCTGTGTTTTAGGATGGATTCCTCGCTATACAGGCACCGGAAAATGGCCGCCCTATGGAGGATCTTTGTTGGACACTGAGCTATTTCGCCCGTTGGAATGCATTGAACCAGTTTTCAATGCATTTCAATCGGTTTTTTACTTTCGCTTGAAGACGATTTCGTTCTACAGCGATTTTGCTGGAACGGATTATCCTCGTGAAACGAGGCACCACTGTACCTAATTTACTCTTACTAACATTAATATTATTATAATTTCTTGTACCCTTTCTTCTAGAGAAGATTCTAGGTGGCTCATATATTAAAATATAAAGTTAAAAACAACAAACCCTCTGTAAGTAATTCAAAGCCACACTCTGAATAAGAACAAATTGGGCAAAAAATCATTGGCACAAGGCCAAAACTTAAAAATTGGCAGTCATATTACACCAAATACAGAGAAGGAGAGAAGTGAAGTGAAATGTGGGCTGTTTCTTAACCAGTCCTTTAAGAGAAACCTAAGAGTATATTATTATTTCTTTTTTTTTTTTTAAGTGATGCAGTGTCTCAGTGATAGTCTACCAGAGTTTGAAAAGAAATTTCACTTCCTTTGCCCCTCCACCAAGAAGCAGAGGAAGTGATCAATTTGCCAGCATCATGGTGGCTTGCTTATTCACCTACTTCATGATATCGGAAGGAGCTGGACCCAATAGGGTCACTTGAGTTCCGATTGCCATTTGGATACAAGAATTGCACCAAATAGCGTATTGCATCTCCACCCAACCCCAAGCAACCCTGTTTAGCCCACACCAGCCCACTGCAGAAGAGTCAGTTGTAGACAAGGCCTTAATTTGTTTCTAGATGTTGTTATTGTTGTTCTTCTTTTTAAAATCTTGCCCAGGCAGTGCTAGCTTTAGCTGCATCTTGGACTTCACGGCAAGTTGGGGACCGAACTTTAACAGGTACAGTTGTTGACAGTGGTGATGGTGTAACCCATGTAATTCCAGTGGTAAGTACCATACGTGGCATTATAGATATAGTAAATGTTTTGTGCTTTGTTTGCTACAAGTGAAAAGGATGTATTCCTCATTATCTTCTCAGTTTGTGAATGTGAAAGAAAGGTATATCCTTATCAAATGAATATGCTTAACGTTTAGTATCAAAATTCATGAAGCACAAATATGGACATCAAGCAAAAATGTTTTCAAGGTCATTTTGCAAACAAAATTAGGAATAAGAACATAACAAAAAATATATTGCAGAATTGTCCAGGATCCATGTGGGATTCTGAACTTCTATTCCTGAAATCTCCAATTTTTAATTGTACACCACTTGAACTGTTGAATTGTCATTGACATGTTATACTTAAGAAGCTTATGTCTCACATTTCAACCCTTAGAAAGGCCCCAAAGGCAGATTTTAATTACCATTGAAAACATTGAAAAAACATATTAAATTAAAGATATTAAAAGCTTAAATTAAAAAAAAAAACACAGCTATTTCCCCCCCCCCCCTTCGGCTTAGGTTGAATGTTTGGAGAAACAAAGCATAAGCAACTACACTGATCCATAGGAATAAAAATATATATATATCCATGGGCAACCCCTTTATTAAGATCAGTTATACATTTACAATATGTGTAAGCTTTTGACTTCCTCAGAACTGCTTACCAGGTCAGATGGCAAAAACTGGCAAGAAGGGAAAGGTATGGAGATCAGCATTTAAACTCAGTTCCAAGACAGAGAATTGTTTTGTTAAGTCAGATACCTTAATGCAAACCTTGGGTAGCTCCCATTGGGATGAAGGCAATGGGCAGATTTTCCTCCTTTGCACCCACAGAGAGAGTAGCTGTTCATGCATCTGCACCTAGTTTTAGATGGGACACAGGTTTCTTTAGCAGCATGGGCTAAAAAGAAAGAAAGAAAAAATGACAAAAACTAATTAAGGCATCTAAGGTTCATAAGAGGGGACGGACAGAGTCTCTCTGGTAGGAAAGTTCCGTGGCTTGGCTGCCAGGAAGGAAAAGGCCTGCTTTTGTTTCTCTGCCAACACCTCCTGAGAAGGTGGTGAAATCCAGAGCCATAAAACATTGCATATATGCCGTGGACAGATCCATTCAGGAGAAAGCAACCCTCAAACATCTCAGTCCCAAACCATTTAGGTCTTTCTACGTAATGGTCAGTGCCGTGAATTGTGTCTGAAAATGAGCTTTCGCAAATGCAGGTAACTGGAGGAAGGCACTCTACTGACTGGCCCCAGAGGACGGATGCATTTCACGCAGCTGCAGTTTCCAAAGTTTTTTTTTCAAAGGCAACCTTACATTAGAAGCGTGCATGGCCGTAATTGGTGGTGCAGCCTGGCAAGGGGAACTGCTGCTGAAAGGAGAGCGGGCGGGGAGTCCCACGGGGCCCACGTAAGCCCCTGGGTATATGAAAAGTGGCTTTTTGGATCCCAACCCAGGCTGATTAAAATAGCTGGATTTTCCCTTAAGGCAATGTTTTTAGCAGTGTTTCTTTTGCTAGTTCAATCCTTCTGAGACGCCAAAGAAGCTAACATTCCACCTGCAGAAGAAAAACCAGAGCTTATTCACACGACATTTCTGCTTGCATCCAGATGTGCCGCTCATTTGGCAAATGAGTTGTTTTAGTCCTTTGTCGTGAATGCAAGCGGTTGTTGCTGCACACCTATAGATTCCTCCCTCATTTGTGACTGGGGGGGGGCTTTACCTCAAGGACCACTGAGCTATGAACAAAAGGCAGCCTAGAACAGGAAGAGACAATTCTGCAAGAGAGTTTATATGCTTTCATGTAGCACTCCTATCGTCTAAGTCCTCAACACATAATGTTTGCAGCTGCAGTTCTGTATATACCAATTTGGGAGCAAGTCCCATTGAATTAAATAGGTCTTGCATCCAGACATGTATAAAATTCCATTGTCCAGGAAGGTCACTCTGTTGAGCTATTATTGGTCACAAATATTAAAGTTGTTCCCTAATTTTAAATACTAGCATACTGTTCCTTAAAGATTCCCCCTTTTTTCTTGGTGTTGTTCCTGTGATTTTATGATGCTTTGAGTTTTATTATTATTATTATTACTAGATTTATAATTCCAATCAAGCAGAGGGGTAGCCCTTAATTATTAATTTTTCAATATATAATCATTGGCAGTATTTGTTAATGTGATTTCTTTGAGTTCAGATGTTTAAACAATTGCAAGTGTTGAATTTGTTGCAGCGTATCTGTTATTGGTAAACCTTCTGATGTGTAACATTTTTCTCCATCTGTAGGCAGAAGGTTATGTAATTGGCAGCTGCATCAAACACATCCCTATTGCAGGTAGAGATATTACATATTTCATTCAACAGCTCCTAAGGGAGAGGGAGGTGGGAATTCCACCTGAACAGTCATTGGAGACGGCTAAAGCCATAAAGGTAAACACATCTGTGAAACTAACTAGGTTATTCAGAAATATCTAAGGGATTGACATTGAATAATTTAAATATGAGAATTTTAAATATGAATAACTATACTTTCACTCCTATATCCTCCATCCCCTTTTATCTTATCCCTGGACTAACTATAGGCAGTGCACCTATGCTATACTGTAAGACCTCCCATTCCTGTGTTATTATACTTATTTATATCTGCAGGAACTTAGCAACCACCATTAAGGGGTTTATTTATCACCCCCTAGGATCTTAAACAGTCCTTAATGGCCACTGATTGTCCATTGCCATAATAAACTTCATGCATTTCCAACAACATGTCATACGTCTGTTCCCGTCTCACGGATCTTAAACAGTCCTTAATGGCCACTGACAACATGTCATACGTCTGTTCCCGTCTCGCCCCCAATTTAATGTATAATTGTCTGTCTGCTAGGGCTACACTCTGTGCATCTGTAGAAGTAGACATAATTCCTCAAAAGCTAAAGCCAAGTAAAATTAGTTTGTCTGGAAGGTGCTGTAAGACTCCTTGTTGTTTTTGCTGCAACAGACTAACACAGCTATCTCCTTAAAAGTACTGTATTTTTTCCGTGTATAAGATGCTACTTTTTCCTAAAACCATTAGAATAAAAATTGAGGGGCGTCTTATACATGAATGTAAGCTGAGAACACGGAGAGAACAAAACGGCCCATACCTTGCCTCTGTAAACAGGCTTCCTTCAATCATGAGGCTTAGTTTCCTCCAGTCAAGAGCCTTATGGAACTGACGTCAGCTGATGCTGAACAAACCAATTGGAACACACCTTGTCAGAGGTGGAGCCTGTAGGCAACAGGGACTCCTAATGTCCGAGTGTTCTGAGCCCAGAGGCTGAATCCTCAAAGCTAAATTTTCTTAATTTTTGAGTTAGAAAAGTGTGTGTGTGGGGGGTTATAAATGGGGGCGTTAGAAAAGTGTGTGTGTGTGTGTTATAAATGGGGGCATCTTATAAACGGGAAAATACGGTAATACTTTCTCTGTTTTAATTTAATATTAACTAACCACCCTCTTAAAAAGCCAGTGGCTGCTTTTTGGCCTTCTCGTAGCAGAGCTGCTGCTGGGACAGAGCAACAGTGGAAAAGGTACCGTCCTCCAGCTACTGTTGAGCATCTCCCATTATCTGTGCTACTTAGGGCTGAAGGCCATTGTGATCTAAGAACATCTGGCACAGCTTTCCCAGTCCTAGACTTGAGGAAAGGAGTTTGCAACTTCTCTTATCCTATTAGAACCTCTCTCCTTTTTGGATTCTGGAAGTGATATAGTTAACCATGCAAGGGTGTAGCAAAAAGGGAAAACAGATCCTGATGCTAGGTCAAGATTTTAATAAAATGAATTCAAAATCCCAAAGCATTTTTGGCAAACAGGGTGCTCTTCGGCGCAGCTGTTCTGTATGTTCTGTTTTGGGAAGATGAAAGGAAATTAACTCCAGGGCAATTCCTTCAAGCTGTCCTTAGGCGTGCAGCTACACGGGCACACAGTGGCTCATGCTATTACTGTTTTCAGGTGCAACTAGTTTGTTGGGGGAACTGCTTCCTGCATGAACAAACAAAAAACAGATAGAACTGAGCATAACCCTGTATAAACTAATTTTGAATCAGTCAGCTAGGCTGCACGATTAAGAATGGATACACTATCCTTTTCATATATTTTTTCCAGTTCTTCCCAATAATAATATTTCATGTTCTCCTTCACAGGAAAAATATTGTTACATCTGCCCTGACATAGTAAAAGAATTTACCAAATATGATATGGATCCGCACAAGTGGATAAAGCAATACACGGGTATCAATGCAATCAACAGAGATAAATTTATTATAGATGTTGGTTATGAAAGATTCCTTGGGCCTGAAATCTTTTTTCATCCAGAGGTAAGAGATAAAAGTGACTATGTTAATTTTAATAAATAACAACAGCAGCAGCAGCAGCAACACTTACAACAACAACAATAATAATATGGCATGTCTGGTGATTGAGCACCATCTAGTGGCTAAATCTTAGCAACTGTATTAGATATATTAGAAAATGCACTTCAATTTTTCACTTCAACTAGGGTCTATCACTTCAGCTATTGATAAGTTTTGTGAAGCTTAAACTGATGATAATTCTTAAATGGGGGGTTATTTACCCGCAGGGTGAGACTTTTGCTAGATTAGCAATGTTAATCGATGCTTTGCATGTACATTTATGCTTTGGACAAGGGTCTGTGATCCTCCAGATGTTTTAGATGCATTTAACAGCAGCCCTAGCCATCATAGCCAATGGTGAGAGATGGTGGGGATTGTGATCTGACAACATCTGGAGGGCCACAATTTGCCCAATTCTGGTGTAGATGTTAAGAACTACTTTGGCTAGAGTGCTTTCTTTTGACGATGTAGGCGCTGGCTTGTGAAAGTTCACGCTGGGCCACCTTTATAGTTTCCAGGATGCCCCCAGGCTGTTAAGCTGTGCCTTGCTGCTATAGACTCAGACTCTCCTGAATTTTGATTCTCTAACCTAGCCTTGTAGATAGGTCCACCGACATCAATAGCTTGTAAAACAAAACAGGAAAAAAACAAATATGTTTCCCTGAAGGAGGAACCATGAGATCTGGCTGTCTGACCAGTCCACTAGATTTCTGTGCTAGGTGCAATGAAGGGGGCAGCCGGCTTGGTATTGGTCCCGTATCACCAGTTGGAATGAACCAAATCCATCTACATGCTGTGCTTTCCTCCCTCCACTACCAGGCAATGTCCCAGTTTTTTTTTTATCACTGTTATGCCTCCATGTGTCTAATTAACCAGTGAGCATTGTTTCCCCCCAGTTTGCCAGTCCAGACTTTATGCAGTCCATTTCGGATGTGGTTGATGAAGTTATACAGAACTGCCCTATTGATGTTCGGCGTCCCTTATATAAGGTATTGTTATTATAGTTCTGGTGTGATGCATTACTAAGATACCTTCAGCTGAAAATTGAAGGCAAGGTTAGAACTGGCTAGGTTATTATAGTTCTGGTGTGATGCATTACTGAAAATTGAAGGCAAGGTCAGAACTGGCTAATATTTGGATGGGAGATCATGAAGAAATGCCAGGAGTCTTTGGGTAAGGCCAGGAAATAATTCTGCCTGAATCCTTGCAGAGTCATTGCCGTCAGTCAGAAGTGTTCATGCTAGGTTGGGTGGCCGTTGGTTTGAATGAATATCAGCCAACTTCTTAACTTATCTATTGATTTTGTATTTTAAAACACTCAGTAAATAAAATATTCAGATGTACATAGCCTTTGTGTGAAGACTATTCTGTTTAATTATAAGAGCTGCTGGTGGGTATTGGTAGATACATTGCTCTGTCCTCCCCAATAATGACTCTATGTAATACCCCCTAAGCGAGTGGTATTTTATTATAGTGAATTCTATTAATTTTATGTCATGAGCAAGGAAGTGAGTTGTAGACTCGTGTGGTTATTTGTGAGCTTAAAATGCCTATCTCTGGATCGTATTTGGCAATCCACTTATGTGCAAGAGCCTTGCGTTGCAGTGGTTAAACTGCAGTACTGCACTGAAGACTCTGCTCACGACCTGAGTTCAATCCCAGGCTCGGGTAGCCGGCTTAAGGTCGACTCAACCTTCTGTCCTTCTGAGGTCAGTGAATTGAGTCCCCAGTTTACTGGGTGGTGGGGTGGTGACGGTGGCAATGGGTAGCCTGCATAATTAAACTGGAAACTGCCCAAAGAGTGCTTGAAGCACTATGGGAGGGTAATAATAATAACAATAACAACAACAACAACAACAACAACAACAACAAATAAAGAAGCTTTAACAAGTGGTTGACTTGCACTGGGGTGAAGGAAGCTTTGGATGCTGTACGAACTCCCCTTTTCTTTATTTTGGCTGGGACCTGCACCTAGAGCTTGTCAGATGAACTCTTAACACATTTTGCTTTGTATCTAAAGAAATGGTGTGTGTGTGTGGGGGGGGGGAGATGGGAGATAGCCCAGAGGGAAGAGAACAGAAGGAAAATGAGAGAGCCTGGCTTTCATGTGGACTCTATTTGAAAATCTGATTGTTACCATATAACAAAAGAGGGCTGCTTCATCCCTGCTGTCATCGTCCTTTTTTTGCATTTTAAGTATTTATAGAGTGTGTTAAGTCATTTAAATGCTAAATGCAGTATTTGGGAGTCCCACTGCACTCTCCATAGCAGGAAGCCTACCAGAGTCTGCTTTTATTAATTTTCAGCCTTTCCTTTATTTCCTCTTCCTTAAATCTTTTCCAACTGGGCTTAAATTACTTAGGTCTTCCCTGGAGTGTTCTGTATTTTTGCCCCCTTTTTATGCTGCTTTCTGAACAGCAGCCAATGTTCTCTTACGTTCGGCTGGCAAACTGTGCTTTTTTCAGCAAAGCTGGCCCTGTGAGGATGCAATGAAGGATGATAAAGTGAGTTCTCCATCCGGAAGTAGCCCTATTCTTTTCAAACTTAAGGGGCTCTGATAAGCATCATTTCGGTCTCTATCTGCCTTTTTTTTTCTTCCTCCAACATGTTAGCCCCCATTTTAAATAGTAACTTATTTTGGAATTGCTGTTAGCTGGCTTTGCAGTCACACAGTAGGAGGTATAAACCTATGGGAGGATCAAGTGCAGCAGAGATGAAAAGAAAAGATAAGAAAGGGGAAGAATATTAAAGATTTGGACAGAAACCATAGCATGCATTTAAGCTCTCTGTTTACTGTCAGATTAAAAAAAGAAAACTGAGGGATTAAGGAGGCGGGTGGTTGGAGTGATTAAATAAATATTGAATCTTATGTCCCTCACTATGCCAAGGGCAATTGTAATATAGATTTTGGCTTTCCTAAGTCATACTATGTTGGCTGAATAGATCAGTGGTTTAAATATCTGTCTGTGGAGACAGAGGTTGGGAGTTCGATTCCCCACTGTGCCTCCTGCAGGTAAAGCTAGCTTGGGTGGCCTTGGGCAAGCTGCACAGTCCAACAGCGCCCCTAGAGGAAGGGAATGGTAAACCATTTCTAAGTATACTCTACTTGGAAAAACCTGAAAAGAGTCACGATAAGTCTGAATTGATTTGATGGCCTATGATGATGATTAATTGTTGTCCTTGAGGTGCCTTAGGCTACTGTTTGCCATCTGCAGTTGATTCAGAAAAGGTACACCAAAACCTGTTAAATTGGGTTCAGTTCTGTTTCTGTGCTAAAAAGAATTTGTAAGGAGAAAATACTGGAATCAGTGTTGAAATTCTTTTTTTTAAATTCACACTTCCAATGAATGTATCAAAAGAGAGCATAGTATAAGATAGAAATTCTGTAGCAGGATGAAGTGCTCAGTCTTTCAGGAACGTAATAGAATCAGAGAGTTGTATAGCTAGGAGGGATTTCCAAGGTCAATGAACCCAACTCCCTGGCATTTCCAATCAGCTAACATTGTTTAGGGTCATTTCAAAGAACCTGGTAATCCTAAGTACTGTAACTTTTTTTTTAAAAAAGAGAAGAATATGTACTTTGATAACGGCAAAAAATGCAAAATATAAAGACCTCCTTAAAGAAGTAGCTTAAAAAACCCAGAATGATAGATAGGTGGCACTGTTTGATTACCATGATGTATATACACCTAGTTCGATCATGTAATGTTTTAATACTGATATTGGTGGCTGTTTCAAAAGTTCCCTCATGGCCCTTGTTTCTACTTGTTCCAAGAATTATCTTGTACAACTCAGTTAAAATCTCCTTGTTTCAAATTTGAGTCCATAGGTTGGCCAGAGAACTAAGTAGGAAGTCCCATGTTGCTCTATTTAAGTCACCTCCTCTGACAGGGACACAGGTGCGGACTGAGGTTCTTACAAGAGCTAGTATTACTTACGTTCAAAAAAATATTTATGACATTTGTGTACATGGGTTCATATTATAAGCATCCCATAAATTAACCTCTTAGACGTGGTTGTGAAGTGGTACAGATCTTCAGCATAAGAAAGGGGAGTCACACCTGACATTTAGGGTGTTGCAGAGTTACCTGGCATCCTAGTATATACTTCATATTGCAAGCATCCTATAAATTAGGCTCTTAAACATGGTTACTAAATGTTCATGGGTTTTCAGCATGAAGTGGTGGGGGGACACACCTTACATTTAGGGTGTTCCACAGTTACTGACTCCACAGCATGCAAAACGCTGTGACGAGGTCAGGATGGTTCAAGTTTTTCTGCAACTGGGCCAGCCTACAAGGAAGAGTGGGGAATTGCGTAGAATTAGATTGAGACAGAACTGACCATTGGGTCACAATGCAGTCACTCTATGAAACAGTGTGGAGAAATTCTTTTGTGGCTCCAGAAACATTCAGCACTATTCAGAATGCTCAGTTAAAATACTTCTATTTTTGATTTGGGATACTTGAATCTGAGCTCTACCTAAGAAGGTACAGGCTATTGCCATGGGGGACACAGGAGCCTCTCCTGACATCCTTCTCCTGCTCTCCCTTCATTCATTATTTTAAGGATTATTATTTAAAAAGGACATGCAGCAGATGAAGTATAGAAACAGTTAGCATCTCTGAATGGTCTGCCAATCTGTCCATTTGCACTATATGGCACGATCATTTGTTATAGAGGGAGATATAGTGTGCTGTAATGGGTAGAATATTGGATTAGGCTCAAGAGTCCTGGGTTCAAATCCCCCACAGGGCTGTGGAATTCATGAGGTGTTACTGGGGCCTTTCAGCCTGACCTACCTCACAGGATTTTCCTGAGAATGTAGTAGAATATAGTAGCACTGCCTTGATCTCATGGAGGCAACAGAAGACAGAAGTATAACAAGTAATAAATATGGTTAAGTGCAAAATGGCAAACACATTTGTATCCTTTCTGTATATCTGTGTCCATGAAGCTTTCCTAAATATTTGGTCTGACATGTTCTCAGCACCTAAAGGGGAAAAATAGCCTAAAGGGATAACATCTTTTATTCCCCCCCTCCCACCTGTGTCTTGTAGAATGTAGTTCTTTCAGGAGGCTCCACAATGTTCAGGGATTTTGGACGCCGACTGCAGAGAGACATGAAAAGAGTAGTTGATGCGCGGCTGAGAATCAGTGAACAGCTCAGTGGTGGCCGGATAAAGGTAAACAGGTTTTACTGCCTGTTTAAATGCCTGAATGAGCAACACGACTGCACATGTAGCTCTTAAGCAGGGCTGTAAATCAGCTGACGTTTTTACTGGTGTGCTGAAAGCATCTCTTCGAACTGAAGTCCACTCCCGAGATGCTGGGGCGAAGTCAAAACGGTTTCATAGAACCACAGAATTGTAGAGTTGGAAGCCTTCCCGGGAGACGTGTAGGCCAATATTCGCCCTTGCCAGAATCCACCGCAAAAGCATCCTTGACAGGTGGCAATCCCACCTCAGTTTTTAAAAAAATCAGCAACAAAGAAGACTCCACCTCAGGGTAGTCTGTCTGACTGTTGAACAGCTCTCCCCATCCGGATGTTCTTCCATTTACTGTATTTTTCCGTTTATAAGAGACACCCCACCACCACTTTTCTAACCCCAAAATTAAGAAAACATAGCTTTGAGTATCCAGCCTTTGGGCTCAGAAAGCTCGAACATTAGGCGTCCCTGTTGCACCAGAGCCTACAGGCTCCACCTCCAACGAGGTGTGTTCCAATTGGTTTGTTCACGGCATCAGCTGACATCAGTTCCATAAAGTTTGTGACTGGAGGAAGCTAAATCTCCTGACTGTAGGAAGCTAAACCTTGTGACTGAAGGAAGCCTATTTACAGAGGCAAGGTATGTGTTATTTTGTTCTCTCCATGTTCTCAGCTTACTTCCACGTAAAAGATGCCCCTCAATTTTTAGATTAATGATTTTAGGAAAAAGTAGCATCTTATACACAGAAAAATATGGTATACGACTCTAGCACATGAGGTGGGACAGCATTAGAATTGTGATAAAGGACCTCTGAGTATTAACACATTTTGTTGTCTTTCACTCCAAAGAATGTCACCTTTCAGAGGGCTTTTAAGATGGCCCAAATCATGTAGTGTTATTGTTATTATTATTTTACAAAGAACTCACTGGCTGAAATCTGCATGCACAGCAGTTATGACATTAGCTGTAGTGGCAAATTGCCACTGATTAAAGGGTTCCTTTGGGGATTTGGGAGTGTGCGCCGCTTCATCACATTGTGTGCTAGTTGCATGCGCCATGAAATCACTTTTAATCAGCATTAATTTGCTACTGATGACAATATCATCTCTGTGGCACATGGAGAGCTGTGCAACCGGATTGTAGCCACTTAGATCCTTAGGATCTTATTGTTTCTCTTTTCAAAGCAATCAGTTGCATTGTGTACTGTTAACACAGGGTGTGTGTTGTTAACCAGTACTCCAGAAGAACACAGAGAAGTGCTTTCCTACCGCCTGGTTCTGATATTACACTTTCAAAAGCACAAAAAGGCAAAAGATAAAACAGATCAACACTTCCCTTGCCACTTTGTACTGAAGAGAATGGTATGAATCTTGAAAAATTCCTGTTGAAATGGTTCTGAAAATGTTACATTAAAAAGCAACTTTTGAAAATAACGGGAAAATGCCTCATTACACTAAGAAAACAACCTTGTAACTGTTCATTGTGTTCTTTTTGAAGTGTTCTTTAATTGCAGCTCTGGTACCCTAAAAGAACTTTTTATAACTTATTATTTCTACGTTCCGGCTATGCTTGAGATGCACGTGGGTTTGGTAAAGTTGCCCCAAGTGTGGCTTTGTAACTGAATGGTGTCTTTAATTTTTTAGCACCTGGGGCTACAGTCTGAATTTTCCACACTTGGCAATTGCATTCCTTACTTTCCGTGTGGTGTGTCTTGCAATAGAATCTGACACTCAAAGGGGAGCCTATATCTAGGTGGACAAAAGTAAATGGGTGAAGAGTTTCTGGACCAAAAAAAATTAAAATGAAATAAAAAATATGCCAGCATTTGGCATTTCAGCACAGCTGGCTTCCCTCTCTCATTACAACTGCTTGAAAAATATAGGGTAAATGCATTTGGCATTTCAGCACAGCTGAGTATTCTGGCTTCCCACTCATTACAACTGCTTGAAAAATGTAGGGTAACGATGCAATGGCTATTGTGAGTAGCAAGTAGGTCAGGATGGTCATGGGTTTGCTGTGGGGTGAGAATATATTGAACTGGCCTTGTGTTTTCCTTGCAGCCCAGACCTATAGAGGTTCAAGTGATCAGTCATCCCATGCAACGCTACGCAGTATGGTTTGGAGGATCCATGCTTGCATCAACAGTATGTCTTTTTTGAAATCACATGGTTACAGAAGAACTGTGCAGAAAGATGTATTTGGTGGGAATCCTGTGCTCCCATCCCATGTATGGAAACAGGATCCTCTTTTATCAGGCTCCTCAGAAGATGAGCAGATCATCTTTAACACCATTGTTTTCTCCATTCCAGGCATGCTTTGTCTATCTGTGAATAGGTCACTACTGCACATGGTCCTTTTCTTTAATATTTTTTCTAAAGGTGGCTTTTAAAATCTGTGACTGAAATCCTGTTGCCATAACTCATGCTGCATAAGTCTGATGATGTCATCAGCAGTGGCATTTAAATTTTTTTTAAATGGCTGGGAATCCATGGAAAGTATGGGATGAGAGGGGAGGATCTTTAATAACTGCAAATTGTTGCCACTGGTAAAGTTGCCCCCAAAGTTCTGGGTCGTTAAAAGCTTGGTCTGCCATCCTACAGCTTTTCCTGAGTTCCCATGGATGACAGGGATTACATGAGAGACTCGAGAGCTTTGTGAGAGAAATTGGAAATGTTTAATTTCAGAAAAATTGCCACTGTTGATGATGTCGTCAGCTGTATGTAGTGTAAATTATGGCAATAGGATTTCAGTCCGTATCTTTTAATCGC